GTGTCTGTGTGTGTGTGTTTGCGTGTGTGTCTGTGTGTCTCTGTGTCTGTGTGTCTGTGTGTCTGTGTGTCTGTGTGTCTGTGTGTCTGTGTGTCTGTGTGTCTGTGTGTCTGTGTGTCTGTGTGTCTGTGTGTCTGTGTGTCTGTGTGTCTGTGTGTCTGTGTGTCTGTGTGTCTGTGTGTCTGTGTGTCTGTGTGTCTGTGTGTCTGTGTGTCTGTGTTTGTGTTTGTGTTTGTGTTGTGCTCTCTGAGTGTTGTAAGTGTGTTGTAGCTCGATGCTGATTCGTCAGCTGGCCTGGTGGATAGACCACTCACGTGACTGGATTCCAATAGGGTTTCGGTTGAGTAGACATAGCGCTTGTGCCCGCGCATGAGCATACAGGAGACTCACAATGCACGCTTAAGCATGGAAGGTTTCATAGGCCTTTAAATGCCGGTTGGGGAAACTGCATTCTCCTTGCGCGTGTGTTTTGTCCTGTTCTTCTTTCGGGTGTCCAGGAAACAAGAAGTTCACGGACAAGATGACATTCACCTTCTCCCAGGAAGGTAGCCAGTGTGCGGTGAACGCTTGCTCCGAGAGTCAGTCCTTCTCTATTGGGGACTTCTCCACCAACTACTGCAACCTCCGCAGCCCGGCTCAAAACCTGGCCAGGTTTTCCAAAGCAGAACGTGTCGGACAGCCTGCTGCCTTGGGGTTCCCTTTGTCCAAAAGCGAAAAGTGGAAGCTTTGGGGTCCAAGTCTGCTCAACGCAGAATCCATTGCTTTGCTGGTAGCAGGACATATTTTGCCTTTCGCTGACCCATTGACACAAGGATCATTGCAACTCCGTGGGCAGGAGCCGTTTTTCCCTGACCAATTTTAACATCCCGCATTTGTATTTAATTTGTAGAGCTCCCCACCTACAAAGCCACGGCGAGGATTTCGTGTTCAGATGAGACATTCGGACGCACCCCCATACGTCTCGCCTTCAGAGCCTTCTTGTTGGATAAGGGCCTCACATCACCAAGTCAGAGCACGGGGAACCGGAGGCCAGGCTTCTAGTTACTGAACCTTTCTCTAGGATTCTGTGAAGCGTTGTTGAGGGAGATGAAATTCAAACGGCTCCAACCATTTCATGCACATTCACATTCTGTTGGAAGAGGCGTGCCAGCCTCAGGCAACCTGTACTGCGGAAGCGCTGATGGCTGCGTGACCGTGAAGCATGACTTCACTACCAAGGAGTCAAAGGTCGATCCGTCCTTCGGCGCGGGAGGCGACAAGAAGGCGTGCATCGTGAAGGACACTCGGCGGGTAGCGGAAGAGTCAAGACATGTGCAAGGCCCTGGTGAGAGATCGCAGTGTTCGGAAGAGCCCCGCACGACTGCCAACAGCTGACGGCTTTGCTGTTGCATTGCTGAGGCAGCCAGCGTGGCCAACGTGCTGGAGAAGACGATGCTGCGCCAGCCCGAATTGTTGGGTGGCACAACGGAGGACACACTCGGCTGCGTCAGCGACAACTGCCCTGTGGACAACCAAACCCTGCAGCCTAGTCCTTTGTGTGTCACTTGGAGATCAAAGTCGGGGGTGAGCATTTTCTAGGAACTCGGGCCCTAGGGTTTGTTCAATGGGACTTTTCAATATCACACACCGTCAAGGGAGCTTGCCTGCGTGGGGCGAGGTTTGGCGCGAGTGTTGCTGACTGTTAGTGGATGCTTGCATTGGATTGCAGGGCGCACCTCGCAACAGGTGAATCTTCTAGAGTGTCCCTCACATTTCAGTTTGAGCATATGAGCTCGCATTGTGCAAGTCTGCCATTCGTGAATGAATGAATCATCAGCCTACCTCCAGGCTCCGCTGAAGGAGAGGTTATAAAATAATTACACCTCAGCAACATGACGTTTACAGATGGAACGCAATTGGTGGCCCTGTCAGGTTGCGTGGCAGCAGGTCGTGTCCTTCCGACAGCCAACAGCAGGAACTCGGGATGCGCAGAACAACGGTAGATGTCAACGGCGAGGCCTTTGTTGATTCGCGTTTGGAGCGCTTATCCTCTTAAATATATGACAGATGAATTCAGGGCTCCCGTTCTCAGAAGATTGCCCGGCGAAGCTCCATGTGTGATGGAATTTTGGTTTTCCAACAGTCCATTCCTGCGGTCGCTAGCTGTTGCCGACGTGTTCCAGCGCAATGTGGTCCGAACTCTTTCGCCTGCATTTGTCAGAAGGGACCAGTGCACGGCAGTCGGGATTCAGGCAGCTGGCACGACGTAAGACAAAATGGCGCACGACCATCGTGACGTTAACGTCCATGGCTCCTGATTATGATTTGCAATCATTGGCCTGCGGGCATGAGCTATCTACTTGCTCTGAATCCAAAGTGATTCCGCAACCCACATGGGCAGTACCTAAATCGGACTATCCCGTTCACTGGTTTGTACAGGACAAGACAAGCCAACCAACGACCAAGCTTGCAAGCTACCAATAGCAAGCAATAAAGCAATGAATACCAAGCAATGGAGCAATAAGCCAACCAAACGACCACCGAACAGCAAACCAAACAAACAAGAACGCAAGCGAGCAGCCCAAGGCAAGCAAGCAAGCAAGCAAGCAAGCAACCGAAGAAGCAAGTCACCAGGCAACCAAGCAAGCAACCAGCTTTCCACCTACCAAGCAACAATGCAACGCAGCAGCCAAGCCACCAAGCAAGCAGAAAAGCAAGCAATCAAGCAACCAAGCAGCCGACCATCCAACCATCCAACCATCCAACCACCCAACCACCCAACCACCCAACCACCCAACCACCTATCCATCATTCAACCAAGCGAGCAAGCAACGTAACAAGGAAGCAAACAGATACCACGCAATAGAATAACACAACCAACCCGCCAACCCGCCCAACCAACCGACCAACCAAACAACCAACCAACCACCAACCGACCATTCACAGGCAGCATCCCACAAACTCAGGTCCTGGGCAACTGCACCAAGAACCTGGCCAAGTGCCTCTTCTCTTCCACCTGCCGCCACGGGGTGATGTGCGAGCTGGGATGCTTCGACGACCTGAAGAACACCGAGGACGCCGGGAGAAGTCGACATTTCTGCCGCCGGCGAAGTCACCTGGTAGGGTCAAACGAGCTCAGAAGGTACCTTGAAAAAATGTGGTACTTGGTTTCAGACCCAATCTACGCGTGCAGGGAATGCTTCCAAAAAGTGCCTTTTTTTTTTCCGCCGTGCCGAAAAGGCTCACTGGTGCTGGCACATGCCCATTTGTTTCACCAGTCTTCACTGGAACAGGGGCAAAAGGCAACAACTTATGTTGGCCTGTCACCTCAGCAAGTGAGAAGTCAGCAAGTTAGGCATTCGAATCACTCGAAGTTCAATTGCTTTGGGGCCTGACATCAACTACAGGGGCATGCTTGTGTCTCTTTGAGCAGCAACTTCCAAAGGCCCCATTCAGGACGTGGGTAACAGTTTTCCCTAATTATCATCTTCAGTAGGTTGCTTTTGCTAGCACGTAGATGTCATCCTTTCTTGCTCCCCCTTGCTCTCCCGGCATTTGGGCCACAACTTCTATTCACTTTTGCCGTTTTTCAGGACGCTGGGCGTTTGGCAGGGGTGCTGGAGTGCATGCGCGCGCACTGCCCTGGCTTCCCCCCCAGCAACATGGCCAGACCTCCTAACCCTTTTGCCTTTTCGCCCTTGTTGGAAATCCAGCTTGTTCCTTTTGAAGCAGCAGACAAACTTGAAAAACTGTCCTCTTTCAACCACTACCCTTTTTTGGTTGTCCCTTTCAGCCCAAAGCCTTCAATTTGTGTTTGTCCTTGGTTGCTGCTGGTTGGTTTCTTTGTTGTTCCTTGTCCTGTTGAATTCTTTGTTTCGCTTTGGGCTGTTTCCCCTTTTTGGAAAACCGTGTCCTAAGGCAAGACCTGCGCAGCTTTGCACTGCACCGTGGAGGCGGGCGCATGCGCTCTGCACTCCAAGTGCCGCAGTGCCCTCGAGTGCGCGGACGGCTGTGTGCCCGGCAAGCCACTTGGACACGACGGATCGGTTCCCTTCGCCGTAGTGAGTTTGTTACGTTTTGCTCCCGGGAAATTGAGCTTTTGAACTTAATGAAGTGCGTGCTGTTGACGTGCGTGGGTTTCTCTCATGTCGTGCATATGTGGAGAGGGTGAAGGTAGGGGGAGGGTTGGTTGCTTGGTTGGCTATGCTTGGCTCGGTTGGTTGCTTGCTTGGTTGCTCCCTCGCTCGCTCGCTCACTTGCTTGCTTCCTTGTTACATTGCCTAGCGGGGCGGGGCGGGGGGGGGGGGGGGGAGCGCGGGGCGAGATGATGATCGACGAGTCTGTTTTTGGAGCACAAAACAGCCTCAGCCAAGAGCAAACCAAGCCTAATGCAACCAACCATTCCATTTAAATTTTGAGGCAGCCTCTCTGTCAACCTGGGTAGCCTTGCATAAACTCACCAAGAGCCTACCAAAACCTACCCTACCAAAGACCTAAATCAGATTGAAACCAACCCTGTTCCAGCACTGGGTGTTTCAGATGGTTGGAGGCAAGAATGAGAAGGCACCACCAAGAGGGGATTACAAGCTTAGGAACCACCCATGTCAACATATTGGGTGAGCTCACTTGGGAATGGTTCCTTCATTTGAGTTTGCAAACTCCAAATCACCCAGGGGTAGGTCAGATTTCCCAAGCATGTCTTGCTGGTCCATGCCGACCAATGACTGTCGGAATATGCGTAGATTTTTGTGAAGCATTGGTATTGACCAACTGCCATCCGGAGGCAGATGTTGAGCAAGCAAATAAATGCAGGCGGCACGCGCCACCACCGCCTCTCGGTCTCAGGTACGCCGCAGCTTTGGCGGCTTTCACACAGCCTGTGGTGTGAGCTACCAGGTGCTTGACCTGCGCCGTGGCTCAGTTTGGACAAGCGAGGGTTTTCACAAAGCCATTTCACCAGAGGGAAAGTGGGATACCCCTGTAAAAGGGCCTGTGTTTTTTCAGGGCTGGTTTAAGTGGAAACCAAAAGGAAGCCACCCTTTTGTGATGACCCCCTATGTTAATACACGGTCCTGCGGGTATGTGCCCATATTTCCGCTTGGGGATTGGGTTTCGGGGGTGGACACCATCTTGGCAGGACAGGAGTTGGAGACCGGAGCTTCAGGATCCCTAAATAGTTTACCTAGGATTCCCTCAGCCGCACATAGGGTTTGAGACCCGTCCCTTTTGTGTTCACTTGGTCCCAGTTATTGGGCAGTCAAGCGACGGCAGACTTAGGGCAGCCAACCCGGAGGTCCTTAGTGAGCTGTGTGCGAGCCGTGCCTTTATTGTTTGATTGGAGTGGAGCTTCTTTTTCTCGTGGCTTCTCTGCCAAGCGGGAAGCCGCGCAGCTCTGCGCTAGTAACCTGAGAAAAGGAGCTGTGCTGGGATGGCACCCCGTCAGCTTGCCCCTCCCACGTTTGTGACAGGGGCACCACACGATCCCGAAGATCAATAGCCAATGTGTGGCACTTCTTTGGGGTCTCTTATGGCCTTGTGGAAATTTTACCGAGCCATCCATTGCACGAGGAGTCCTAAAGCCGGTGGTAGAGTCCTTCCGGCGAGTTCGCTTGCAAGCTCCTGCGAGTAAGCACTTGTCGTCCCGTCGCGGCGATTTTTCGGTGCTTTGTCACACAGTCACATTCCGTTCCAGTCTGGCGTTTTCTTAGTGATCACCTTGACGAGTACATGGGTCCGGCAAGATGCCCTCGCATGCTGAGTGTGTGTCGAAGGTTGCATTCCGCAGCAGTGTTCACATCATTTGCCAGCTGCGTTGGTCGAGTTTTCGGAGAATCTGTGCAATGGCGCCTACCTTGTCTTTGTGCCGAGTCTGCAACCAGGGAAACATGAAACTGCCGTGAGGGGACGGGTAAGCTGTGCGCTGCCAGCGTGCTGTTCAATGTTAAGCTAGGAAGGGCCTGCGATTGCGACAAGCTCGTCAAAGCCTTTCATAAAAGCCTTGCCAGGGTACTCAGACATCTGGGGAGCACCACCCTAGAGGCGCATAAGTCGTGGCACCTAGCTGAGGGAGGACCCGCAAAATTATCTTCAAGCAATTCAGTGGGAGTTTGCCGCCTTCCAGGACACGAGCTTTCAGGATTGCCACATGCAAGACGCTCTAAAAGATGCGACTAGATTCTAGATCTACAAGCAGCTTTGTCCCCTTTCCACAGTGAAGATCGTGACGGATTCAGCGTATATGTTAGCCCATGCCATGGTGAATGGACGTGCTCGGTACGCTGCTATGTCTCTACCTTACACGACGTGAAAGGTGACGAATGAATTTCGCAGAACATACCTGTGCAGTTCATAGTTCGAGCGAGGCGTGTCTTTTCCAACAACCACTGAGAAAGTGGGTATGAGATGAAGAGGAAAGTATTTGTTGACACAAACTTTGGCATGAATGACCAGTGCGAGCCTCTTCTTACCCCGCTTTCGGTTCCAAACTAAACAAAAGTGCACTTCAAGCAAACATCAAAAGTCCGGTTTAAGTTCTCATCCCACGCATTTGCAACATATACCCACTGTGTTTCAATCTGGGTCCATTGAAGCGACATTCTTGAAACGAAGCCCGTTTCTTGACGGCTTGAAGGGAAACCCGATCCAACGGGTCATTTTTTGAGATCTCAAGTTGGTTTTGAAACCCGCCGAGAACCTCAGGCTGCTTCTGGGAACTGCTGCGGCCATGAAGTGCCCGGGCTCCAAAAGCTGGATCCACGCATCTGCGGAGGCCTGACGAGTTGTGCGCGAACCCCTTAACGCATGGATACTTCATTGGATGAAAATGGACGTGCGTCTTATGGGGGCTGCCGTCTTCTTCTTTTTCTTTTTTTTTGGGGGGGGGCCGAAAAGGAGACACACCCGAGTCACCCAAATAGACAAATCCTCCGCTATGGTTTGGATGCATCGTTTTTCTTGGACAACTTACACCAGCGAAACTATGTCCAATGCAAGGCTCTACCCCCACAGTTGCGATGTGACCCCGATTCTCCACCATCTCCGGCCCTTGAGCAAGCCAACTGCGTGCCAGTGCGCGCATTTCCACTTGCCAAGGACTATCGATTGCACGGTTGGGCCAACCCCTTGTTCAAGCATGTTACACCTATTGTTGAAACTGCCTTCTTTGCCTTTAGGTAGCCCGGGTGTGGCTGAAGCAAAGCCCAAGAAGCACTTCTCAGGGATCGATGTTCGATCAGAGTCAATGGGTGAAGGCACTGTGTCCTTCTTTTATGCAAACGGCCGCTGAAGTCTAGGAGATGCTGGGGATCCGGATGGCTGTTGAAAGGAATAATTTGGTTTGTGCAGGAATGATTTGGGTCAGTCTTTAGAAATCGATTGCCACTGAAGCAATTATCTTTGTGTTTGAAGGTACACATTTTAAGGGGCTCGCTGTAGGAGTCCCAAAGCGGCACGCTCCGATTTCAACGTCCCACACGCCGCAGGTGGAGGCGGTTGCGGATGCCTCCTGCGATGATGTGATGTCGGAGACACTTGGCTTAGCCTCCAATCGGTGTAGGGGGTAAAGGTGCCCCTGGAACCCCAAGAATTGGTTGATCTCCGCTTTGGCTTCCCTTGAAAGAAAATAACCAAACAGGGGTTCCCCGACAGAGGACCAAATGTGACGGTGCTGAAGGGCAGGGCCAAAAAGGCGGAGAAGTCGATATTTGTTTGACATTGGGCGGAACTGCGCTAAAACTCGGTAGATCCGTGGGAAAAAGCAAGGGCACGGCGGGGAACCGACTGGCTCATAAGACTAGTGGCGCTGAAGTTGTTCCTGAAAAAAGTGCAAGTGTCCTCTTGCAGTCGCGCTTGGCATGCATCACCTGACTAGCTAAATCCGAAAGAACACAACATGCCTTTGTGCATCAAGGATTCAATAGCATTCAACGCAACGACATGCACTTTGCCATGCTTGTGGCCGCATCCAGCATGTCAAACGTACAATGAGAGCATCCCAGCTTTATGTCAAGCTACTGTTTGAGTTGCCTCGAGCCTCCCCGCTGCACCGCAACTGCTGAGTTCCTCCCCACCACCCGCCTGAGGATGATTGCCCGCGTGACCTCGGACTGGAAGGATCCCCACAACGGCGGCACTTACAGCGTGCTGAGCAAAGCGGATGGCGAGTTGAACCTGCAGCGCGTGACCGGTTCCTCGGACTAGCACTCGAGGCTGTTGCCGTTGAAGCCGCCGCTGATGCGATACAGGCATAACAAATTAAATGCATACAACAAAGCAAGCACGCACGCGAACGCACGAACGCACACACACACACACACACACCATACATTACTTGCTGCAATCCAGTGACGACAATAACAACACAAGTAATTTAAAACAGCATGCACAGGACAGTCAGTACCACCAACACCTTCACACCAACAAAAGCAACATCGACAACAACAACACCAATACGAACATGTGCCTGCGCGCCTGCGTGCCTGCCTGCGTGCCTGCCTGCGTTCGTGTGTGCGTGTGTGTGCGTGCGTGCGTGCGTCGTGCGTGAGCGGGCGGGTGGGTGGGTGTGTGTTTGCATTTGGTTGTTTGGTTGTTTGGTTGTTTGGTTGTTTGGTTGGTTGGTTGTTTGATTGCTTGGTTGTTTGGTTGTTTGGTTGTTTGTGTGTGGGTGTGTGTTTCAAGAGTCTGGGAAAAGCTGGATGTGGGAACCCACTGAGGAGTCCCTCCCACATTCCAGTGGGACGAAACTCATAATTAATCCGATCGTCGAATTGGCCCACAGTTTCCCGAAGATTGGCTGCTTGATGACCCTTGAAGAGAATCTCTGCAGACCAGCTTTGCTGGGACACAAGTGTGTGTCTGCGTGTGTCTGCGTCTGTTTTGCATGTGTGGGCTCTTGTTGTGTTTCATTTTGCTGTCTTTATGTATTCCTTTGTTGTAAACGCTTCGCACTGCTCATGCCCGCGCGTTTCCACATGGCAGAGAGCCGCAGAGAGCTACAGAATGGCAGTGGGATTGGGCCAAGCGAAGGTGCAAGTTGACCGGTTTCCAAGGGGATTTGACAGGAGTCGGACTAGTTGTAGAGAGGATTTAACTGGTTTCTAGATGGGAAGCAGGGGTGATTTGATGAGGATTTGACCGGTTTGTACGGCTTTTAGAAGGTGAGCCGGTTGAAGGGAGTTCAACTGGTTTTAGGGGAGTTGGACAGATGTTTGACCGGTTTTGAGAGGGGCTTTGAGTAGTTTCTGGGAAGCTGACCGGTTTCCAGATGATTGACAGGAGTTGGAAGGGGGACTTGACCGGTGTTTGGAAGATCTCCGACCTTCCAGGCTCGCTTCAAGACTGGAGGCGGCCGGCAGGGATTTTGGTTCTCAAAGGGACTGACCGCTTCCCGGCCCGGGGGGCCGAGGCGAATGTCTTCTTTTCTTCAAGAATCCAAGGTTCGCACGCTTGCTGAAGCATGGAAGCTATCATGGGCCTTTGAAGCACGAGTTTTATCCAATCCAGGGTGCGGGTTGCGGACCATGTTGGGGATACTCCATTCTCCTTGCGCGTATGTTTTTTCCTGTCCTTCTTTCGCGTGTCCAGGAAACAAAAAGTTCACGGACAAGATGACCTTCACCTTCTCCCAGGAAGGTAGCCAGTGTGCGGTGAACGCTTGCTCCGAGAGTCAGTCCTTCTCTATTGGGGACTTCTCCACCAACTACTGCAACCTCCGCAGCCCGGCTCAAAACCTGGCCAGGTTTTCCAAAGCAGAAAGTGTCGGACAGCCTGCTGCCTTGGACCCCTTTGTCCAAGCGAAAAGTTGAAGCTTTGGGGTCCAAGTCTGCTCGACGCAGAATCCATTGCTTTGCTGGTAGCAGGACATATTTTTGCCGTTCGCTCACTCATTGACACAAGGAGCATTGCAACTCCCTTGGGCAGGAGCCGTTTTTCCCTGATCAATTTTAAGATCCCGCATTTGTACTTGTAGAGCTCCCCACCTACAAAGCCACGGCGAGGATTTCGAGAAGGGCTCACGTGTTCAGATTTGAATTCTTCGAACAGAGCCCCAGAAGCCCTTCAGAGCCTTCCTGGATGGGGCCGCCTTGGCTTCCTCGGTGTTTACAGCAGCCCCCACACATCACCAAGTCAGAGCCAGGGGACCAGAGGATGCCAGGCGTCTAGTTTCGTTCTTGTTTCTGGGAAGCTTTGGAGCGCTTTTGAGGGAGATGAAGTTGAAACGGCCCCCGCCGTTTCAGGAAACACCCACATTCTGTTGGAAGAGGTGTGCTCTCAATCAAGCAGAAGCGTTTTGCACGTTGCACCCAGAAAGGGCCTGGCCTCAGGCAACCTGTACTGCGGAAGCGCTGATGGCTGCGTGACAGTGAAGCATGACTTCACTACCAAGGAGTCAAAGGTCGATCCGTCCTTCGGCGCGGGAGGCGACAAGAAGGCGTGCATCGTGAAGGACACTCAGCGCATAGCGGAAGAGTTAAGACATGTGAGAGATTGCACTGTTCGGAAGAGCCCCGCGCGAATGCCAACAGCTGACGGCTTTGCTGTTGCATTGCTGAGGCAGCCAGCGTGGCCAACGTGCTGGAGAAGACGATGCTGCGCCAGCCAGAATTGTTGGGCGGCACGACGGAGGACACACTCGGCTGCGTCAGCGACAACTGCCCTGTGGACAACCGAACCCTGCAGCCCAGTCCTTTGTGTGTCACTTGGAGATCAAAGTCGGGGGTGAGCATTTTCTGGGAACTCGGGCCCTAGGGTGTGTTCAATGGGACTTGTCAATACCACACACGTCAAGGGAGCTTGCCTGCGTGGGGCGAGGTTTGGCGCGAGTGTTGCTGACTGTTAGTGGATGCTTGCGTTGGATTGCGGGGCGCACCTCGCAACAGGTGAACTTTCTAGAGTGTCCCTCACATTTCAGTTTGAGCATATGAGCTCGCATTGTGCAAGTCTGCCATTTGTGAATGAATGAATCATCAGCCCACCTCCAGGCTCCGCTGAAGGAGAGGTTATAGAATACACCTCAGCAACATGACGTTTACAGATGGAACGCAAATGGTGGCCCTGTCAGGTTGCTTGGCAGCAGGTCGTGTCCTCCCGACAGCCAACAGCAGGAACTCGGGATGCGCAGAACAGCGGCAGATGTCAACGGCGAGGCCTTTGTTGATTCGCGTTTGGAGCGCTTATCCTTTCAAATATTATATGGCAGTTGAATTCAGGGCTCCCGTTCTCGGAGATTGCAAAGTGGCAAGATACGTTGCGCTGGCGAAGCTCCATGTGTGATGGAATTCATGTTTTCGAACATTCCATTCCTGCGGTCGCTAGCTGTTGCCGACATGTTCCAGCGCGTAATAAAAATGGTGGGCGACCATCGTGACGTAAACGTCCATGGCTCCTGATTATGCAATCATTGGCCTGCGGGTATGAGTTATCTACTTGCTCTGAAGCCAAAGTGATTCCGCAAACCACATGGGCAGTACCTCAATTGGACGATCCTGTTCACTGGTGTGTAAAGGGCAAGACAAACCAACAACCAAGCTTGCAAGCAAATACCAAGCAATGGAGCAATAAACCAACCAAACGACCAACGAACCAGACCAAACCCAAGCAAAAGACCGACCAACCAAACCAAACCCAGCCGAACAACCAATCTACCACTCAGCCAGCCAGCGTCAACCGAACAGCAATCCAAACAAGCCAAAACGCAAGCGAGCAAGCAAGGCAAGCAAGCAAGCGACCGAACAAGCAACTCACCAGGCAACCAAGCAAGCAACCAGCTTTCCACCAAACAAGCAACAATGCAACCAAGCAAGCAGACAAGCAAGCAATCAAGCGACCAGGCAACCGACCAGCTAACCATCCAACCATCCAACCATCCAACCATCCAACCACCCAACCACCCAATCACCCAACCACCCAACCACCCAACCACCCAATTACTTATCCATCATTCAACCAAGCGAGCGAGCAAGCAACGTAGCAAGGAAGCAACCAAGCTACCAAGCCTCAAGATACCACGCAATAGAGCAACACAACCAACCCGCCAACCTGCCCAACCAACCAACCAACCAACCAACCAACCAACCAACCGACCGACCAAGCAAGCAACCAACCACCAACCAACCAACCATCCATCCCACAAACTCAGGTTTTGGGCAACTGCACCAAGAACCTGGCCAAGTGCCTCTTCTCTTCCACCTGCCGCCACGGGGTGATGTGCGAGCTGGGATGCTTCGACGACCTGAAGAACACCGAGGACGCTGGAGAAGTCGACATTTCTGCCGCTTGCGAAGTCACCTGGGAGGGTCAAACGAGCTCAAAAGGTACCTTGAAAAAATGTGGTACTTGGTTTCAGACCCAATCTGCGCGTGAAGGGAATGCTTCCTAGAAGTGCTATTTCCTGGTGCTTCTGCCGAAAAGGCTCACTGGTGCTGACACATGCCCATTTGTTTCACCAGTCTTCATTGGAACAGGGGGCAAAAGGCAACAACTTATTTTGGCCTGTCACCTCAGCAAGTGAGGAGTCAGCAAGTTACTCGAAACTCAATTGCTTTGGGGCCTGACATCAACTGCAGGGGCATGCTTGTGTCTCTTTGAACAGCAACTTCTAAAGGCCAGCTCCGTGCAGGACATGGGCAGCAGTTTTCCCTTGTTCTCCTCTTCAAAGCATGCAGTTGCTTTTGCTAGTATGTAGATGTCATCCTTTCTTCCTCCCCCATTGCTCTTCCGGCATTTGGCCCACAACTTCTAATCACTTTCTGCCTTTTCCTAGGACGCAGCGCGTCTGGCAGGGGTGCTGGAGTGCATGCGCGCGCACTGCCCCGGCTTCCCCCCCAGCAACATGGCCAGACCTTTTAACCGTTTTACCTTGTTGCCTTGATAGTTTTTTTGATTGTCCTTTTGAACCAGCAAACAAATATTGAAGAATTGCCCTCTTTCCACCACAATCCTTTTTTGGCTGTGTCCCTTTCAGCCAAACTCTTCAAGTTGTGTCCTTGGTTGTTCCTTGTTGGTTACCATGTTGGTTTCCTCGTTGTTCCTTGTTGCTCCTTGTTGGTTTCCTTGGTTGTTTCTTGTTGGTGTCCTTGCTTGTTGCTTGTTGGTGTTCTTGTTGTTCTTGTTGTTCCTTGGTTCTTCCTTGTTGGTTTCCTTGTTTGTTTCTTTGTCGGTATCCCTGGTTGTACCTTGTTGGTGCCCTTGCTTGTTCCTTGTTGGGTTCCTTGCTGCTCTTGTTGTTCCTTGTTGGTTTTCTTGGTTGTTCTTTGTTGGTTTCCTCGTTGTTCCTTGTTGTTCCTTGTTGGTTTTTCTTCTTGGTTTCCTTGTCGGTTTCCTTGTTGTTCTCCTTGTTATTCCTTGTTGGTTTCCTTGGTTGTTCCTTGTTGGTTTCTCTTTCAGCTGTTTCCTCAGAGGGGACAATCGTGTCCTAAGGCAAGACCTGCGCGGCTTTGCACTGCACCGTGGAGGCGGGCGCATGCGCTCTGCACTCCAAGTGCCGCAGTGCCCTCGAGTGCGCGGACGGCTGTGTGCCCGGCAAGCAACTTGGACACGACGGATGGGTTCCCTCTGTGAGTGACCACTTGGAGAGGCCGTAGCGAGTTTGTTACGTTTTGCTCCCGAAATTTGTGTTTTTGAATTTAATAAAGCGAGTGCTGTGGACATGCTTGGGTTCCCTCTCATGCCGTGCATCTGTGGGGAGGGTTGGGGTGGGGGTGGGATTTGTGTTCCGGCATAAGTAGGTAGGCGGTTGCTTTTTCTGTTTTACCGCCGTTTTGGTTGCTTTTTCTGCTTTTGCACTAGACGAGCACTAGACAGAGCGCTGGACGAGCACTAGACAGAGCGAGCACCAGACGAGCACTGGACGAGCACTATACAAGCGCTAGACGAGCACGGGACGAGCGCCGGAATGGGGAGAGCACGAGCCACCCGGAAATTTCTGGACAATTTCCGGGCAGAGAAGAGCACTAGACAGAGCACTAGACGGAGCGCTAGAGGAGCACTGGACGAGCGCTAGACGAGCACTAGACGACCACTAGACAAAGCTCTAGACGAGCACCTTACGAGCACTAGACGGAGCACTCGACGGAGCACTAGACGAGCACAGACGAGCACTGGACGGGCACTAGACGAGCGCTAGAGGAGCACTAGACGAGCACTAGACGAGCACTAGACGAGCACTAGACGCAGCGTGGACGAGCGCTAGACGAGCGCGAGACAAGCGCTAGACGAGCGCTAGATGAGCGCTAGACGAACACTAGACGAGCACTAGACGAGCACTAGACGAGCACTCGACGGGCGCGCGCTAGACGAGCACTAGAGGAGCACTAGACGAGCACTAGACGAGCACTGGACGAGCACTAGACGGAGCGCTAGACAAGCACTGGACGAGCGCTAGACGAGCGCTGGACGAGCGCCAGAAGGCTCTAGGGAGGGCACAACCCCCGCAAATTTCTAGAAAATTTCCGGGGATAGAAGAGCACTAGACGCGCGCTGGACGGAGCACTAGACGAGCACTAGACGAGAACTAGACGCAGCGTGGACGAGCGCTAGACGAGCGCGAGACAAGCGCTAGACGAGCGCTAGATGAGCACTACACGAACACTAGACGAGCACTAGACGAGCACTAGACAGAGCACTGGACGAGCACTAGACAGAGCACCAGACGAGCAGTTGACGAGCACTAGACAAGCGCTAGATGAGCACGGGACGAGCGCCGGAATGGGGTGAGCACGAGCCACCCGCGGAAATTTCTGGACAATTTCCGGGCAGAGAAGAGCACTAGACAGAGCACCAGACGGAGCGCTAGACGAGCACTGGACGAGCGCTAGACGAGCACTAGACGAGCGCTAGACAAAGCTCTAGACAAGCACTAGACGAGCGCTAGACGGAGCACTCGACGGAGCACTGGACAGAGCACTAGACGAGCACTAGACAGAGCGCTAGACGAGCGCTGGACGAGCACTAGACATGCCCTGGACGAGCACGGGCAAGCGCCGGAATGGGGAGAGCGCGAGCCACCCCCGGCAATTTCTGGAAAATGTCCTGGCATAGAAGAGCGCTAGACAGAGCACCAGACGAGCGCTGGACGCTGCACGAGCACTAGACGTTCACTGGACGAGCACTAGACGAGCACTAGACAAGCACTAAGAGGAGCACTAGACGAGCGCTGGACGAGCGCTAGACGAGCACTGGACGAGCACTGGACGGGACGAGCCGAGCACTAGACGGAGCACTAGACAAGCGTTGGGCGAGCGCTAGACGAGCGCGCGCACTAGACGGAGCACTAGACGGAGCACTATAGACGGAGCACTAGACGGAGCACTAGACGAGCGCAGACGAGCACTGGCGAGCGCTAGACGGGCGCTAGACGAGCACTAGATGGGCACTAGACGAGCACTAGACGGGCACTAGACGAGCGCCGGGCACTAGACGAGCGCCAGACGGGCACTAGACGAGCACTAGACGGGCGCTAGACGAGCACTAGACGGGCACTAGACGAGCACTAGACGGGCACTAGACGAGCACTAGACGAGCACTAGACGAGCACTAGACGGGCGCTAGACGAGCACTAGACGGGCACTAGACGAGCACTAGACGGGCACTAGACGAGCACCAAGACGAGCACTAGACGGGCACTAGACGAGCACTAGACGGGCACGAGACGAGCACTAGACGGGCACGAGACGAGCACTAGACGGGCGCTAGACGAGCACTAGACGGGCACTAGACGAGCACTAAAGCACTAGACGGGCACTAGACGAGCACTGGACGGGCACTAGACGAGCACCAAGCACTGGACGGGCAGTAGACAAGCACTAGACCTAGACGAGCACTAGACGGGCAGTAGACGAGCACTAGACGGGCACTAGACGAGCACTAGACGGGCACTAGACGAGCACAAGACGGGCACTAGACGAGCACTAGACACTAGACGAGCGCTAGACGGGCACTAGACGAGCACTAGACGAGCACTAGACGAGCACTAGACGGGCACTAGACGAGCACTAGACGGGCACTAGACGAGCACTAGACGAGCACTAGACGAGCACTAGACGGGCACTAGACGAGCACTAGACGGGCACTAGACGAGCACTAGACGGGCACTAGACGAGCACTAGACGAGCACTACGGGAACTAGACGAGCACTTGACGGGCATTAGACGAGCACTACGGGCACTAGACGAGCACTAGACGAGCACTAGACGGGCACAGACGAGCACTAGACGGGCACTAGACGAGCACTAGACGGGCACTAGACGAGCACTAGACGGGCACTAGACGAGCACTAGACGGGCACTAGACGAGCGCTAGACGGGCGCCAGACGAGCACTAGACGAGCACCAGACGAGCACTAGACGGGCGCTAGACGAGCGCTAGACGAGTGCGCTGGACGAGCACTAGACGAGAACTAGACACTAGACAGAGCGCTAGACGAGCACTAGACGAGCACGAGAAGGGCACTAGACGAGCACTACACGGGTATAGACGAAGACGAGCACTAGACGGGCACTAGACGGGCACTAGACGAGCACTAGACGGGCACTAGACGAGCACTAGACGTGCATTAGACGAGCACTAGACGGGCACTAGACGGGCGCTAGACGAGCACTAGACGAGCAAAAGACGGGCACTAGACGAGCGCTAGACGGGCACTAGACGAGCAGTAGACGGGCACTAGACGAGCGCTAGACGGGCACTAGACGAGCACTAGAAGGGCACTAGACGAGCACTAGACGGGCAGTAGACGAGCGCTAGACGGCCACTAGACGAGCACTAGACGGGCACTAGACGGGCACCAGACGAGCACTAGACAGGCACGAGACGAGCACTAGACGGGCACTAGACGAGTACTAGACAGGCACTAGACGAGCACTAGACGGGCACTAGACGAGCGCTAGACGGGCACTAGACGAGCACTAGACGGGCACTACTAGACGGGCACTAGACGGGCACTAGACGGGCACTAGACGAGCACTAGACGAGCGCTAGACGAGCACTAGACGAGCACTAGACGAGCACTAGACAGAGCGACGGGCACCAGATGAGCAGTGGACGGGCACTAGACAAGCGCTGGACGGGCACTAGACGGGCACCAGACGAGCACCAGACGGGCACCAGACGAGCACTAGACGGGCACTACACGAGCACTAGACGGGCACTGGACGAGCACTAGACGGGCACTAGACGAGCACTAGACGGGCACTGGACGAGGACTGGACGGGCAGTAGACGAGCACTGGACGGGCGCTAGACGAGCGCTAGACAGAGCGCTGGACGAGAACAAGACGAGCGCTAGACGGAGCACTAGACGAGCACTAGACGAGCACTAGACGGAGCTCGACAAGCGGTGGACAGAACACTAGCTAGACGAGCCGAGCGCACTGGGCGAGCCGAGCACTAGACGCGCGCCAGAAGCGCATTAGGGAGGGCGCAAGCCACCCCCGGAAATTTCTGGAACATTTCCGGGGATAAAAGAGCACTAGACAGGCGCTGGACGGAGCACTAGACGAGCGCTAGATGGAGAACCAGACGAGCGCTGGACGAGCGCGAGACGGGCACAAGACGGGCACGAGACGAGCACTAGACAGCACTAGACGGGCACTAGACGAGCACTAGACGGGCACTAGACGGGCACTAGACGAGCACTAGACGAGCACTAGACGGGCACTAGACGAGCACTAGACGAGCACTAGACGGGCGCTAGACGAGCACTAGACGGGCACTAGACGAGCGTTAGACGGGAACTAGACGAGCACTAGACGGGCGCTAGACGAGCACTAGACGGGCACTAGACGAGCACTAGACGGGCACTAGACGAGCACTAGACGGGCACTAGACGAGCACTAGACGAGCGCTAGACGAGCACTAGACGGGCACTAGACGAGCACTAGACGGACACTAGACGAGCACTACACGGGCACTAGACGAGCACTAGACGAGCACTAGACGGGCACTAGACGAGCACTAAACGGGCACTAGACGAGCACTAGACGGGCACTAGACGAGCACTGGACGGGCACTAGACGAGCACTAGACGGGCACTAGACGAGCACTAGACGGGCACTAGACGAGCGCTCGACGGGCACTAGACGAGCTCTAGACGAGCACTAGACGAGCACCAGACGGGCACTAGACGAGCACTAGACGGGCACTAGACGAGCACTAGACGGGCACTAGACGGGCACTAGACGAGCACTAGACGGGCACTAGACGAGCACTAGACGCAGCAGGAACCCTAAAAGACCCGCCAGCAAGAACCCTAAACGGCGCCCCGCCAGCAGGAACCCGAAAAGACACCCCCCCAGCAGGAACCCTAAAAGGAATCCTGCCAGCAGGAACACTAAAAGGCGCCAGCAGGAACCCTAAAAGACATCCCGGCGGCAGGAACCCTAAAGCCAAAAAACCAAAGCCAAAAGCCAAAACCAAAAGCCAAAGCCAAAACCAAAAGCCAAAAACCAAATCCAATAGCCGAAGCCAAAAGCCACAACCCAAAACCTAAACCTAAAAACCCTAAGCCTAAATCCTAAACCTAAACCCTAAACCTCAAAAACCTTAAGCCTATAAACCGTAAAACCTCAAAACCCTAAACACAATTCTAACTTCTAAGTATATATTTAAGAGTTGGTCGATGATGTGTCGGGTCTTCTCGAGGCTTCGTTTTCGGCTCTGTGCGCTTCCCGCAGGCTGCTAAATCTGCCTCGCCGCTCAAATCCAAGATCGGGGCTAAAATCGCAAAATTTGCCACGCGCTAAATTTGCGCGCTTTTGCGGCTGGGGCCTTGCGGCCGCAGTTCAGCCGTGGGCGCTCCGGGGCCCCACCGCGGGGCTGGTGGCCTAGTGGTCTTGCGTCCGTCTCTGAAGCGGGTGGTCCCGGGCTCGGTTCCCCCCTGGCGCGCGCCTTGTTTTGCGTGGCCGTGTCAGCCTGCTCGAGCCGCTCGAAATCGTGGGGCTGCTTCTGAAGTCGCTTCTCGCTCAGCCATTGCGCGGTTCTTTCCCTATTACAGTTCACGCTACAAAAATCTACTTTTGAAGCTTTTTCCTGCAAGTCGAGACAAGCAGCTCCGGCCGACGACGTAGTCCGGCGGCACGCGGATTTTCTTCAATGTTCAAATCGCTCGGTCTTTCTGCGCGGCTTCGCTCGCTGCTTGCTGCCCGCCACCCGCGCGCACGGCTGCTGCTGCTCGCAACCTTTTGCTAGTCGCCGCGCGCGGTTGTTCTTGCCGCATGGCTTCCACCGCGCGCCCCCAAATTCGGTTTTCTAAGTTGCGCCGGCAACTTATTGAGGCTGGTCCTTGGTAATGGGATCTGGGTGGGTGGGATTGAGATCGAAGCTTTAGATGATCTTTGCTTTGAAAAATCCCACGTCTTGAAGTCTTTGAACCCAAACCCTAAACCTAATTCCTAAACCTAACAATCCTAAACCTAAAAAACCTTAAACCTATAAACCGTAAACCTAAAAATCCTAAACCCAAATCCTAAACCTAAAAACCTTAAACCTAAAAACCCTAAGCCTAAATCCTAAACCAAATTCCTAAACCTAAGTCTTCAACTTAAATCCTAGACCTCAAAACCCTAAACCTAAATCCTAAACCTAAATCCGAAACCTAAACCCTAAACCTAAAACTTCTTATACCTAAAACCCCTAAGCCTAAATCCTAGACCTAAATCCTAAACCTAAAAACCATATACCCAAACCCTTGCTTGTTTGCTCCCTCGCTCGCTTGCTCACGTGCTTGCTTCATTGTTGGATTGCCTTTCTCACTTGGCAGCGTGCTTGGTTGCTTGGTTGCTCGGTTGCCTGGTTGCTTGGTTGCTTGGTTGCTTGGTTGCTTGGTTGCTTGGCTTGGTTGCTTGGTTGCTTGGTTGCTTGGTTGCTTGGCTTGGTTGCTTGGCTTGGTTGCTTGGTTGCTTGGTTGCTTGGTTGCTTGGTTGCTTGGCTTGTCGGTCGAAAGAGGCCATGTGGGGGAAGGTGTGCACCACTACCAGCATCACCTGAACATCCTGAATCCAGTTCACACCGGCCTGTCAGAGCAAGCTCGCATGCGCTCCATGCTCGGAACGATATGGCTGCGAGTCAATTTATAAGGTTCGGAACAGGGTCCGGAACCCACATGCGATCCAGACCTCCGTTCCAGACCTCCGTTCCAGACCTTGCCTAGCAACTTGATCCAGACCTTCCGTTCCAGACCTTGTGTATATATTTACGTCTAGTTTAGAGTATTGATTCAGACGGTCAGGTGATTTGGTAGGTTATTGACTCCCCCTTGTTTTGCCAAATGCTATATACGGGTTAAAGCTGGTGTTCGAGAGAAGCCTGAGGTGCTAACGATGGGTTTGCTTGTCGAGCTTTGGTGGTTAGGGCTGCGTGGCTTGTAATCATTGGGACTTGGATGGAATTGGGCAACGGTCCTGTTGACAGATGTGTTGTTGGAACGGCCTGTCAATGTTAAGGGTCAACCCCGCCGCAATCTGTTCGATACGATACGGTAACGGTTCGATACCGCTCTCGGTCGTCACATTGTTGAAACGACCATGATTACATGCTGCTTGCTAGCATTCCCAAGCGCAACACTCGCGTAACTGTTCCAGACCCCGTTCCAGACCCGTTCCAGACGTGTTCCAGACGCAGCGGAGAAATTTGCCACCAAGTCCACATGCACACACACACACACACATGCCCCATGTAAGTAGCTGCGCTTCTTACGCGGCCCGCCACGCCGCGCGCCGCTGGTCGCTTCATCCATCCATCTACCCATCCATTCATCCATCCATCTATCCATCTTACACATTGAACATGTGCTTGAGGACTCCACACAGGAACAGCCAACCTTACGTAACTGACTCGTTCCAGACGTCCGCGTCACCGCGGAACGTTCCACACCAGAATATTGACCCACACCCATATGTTGAGACGTACTTCCAAGCCGGCACAAAACAGCCCTCAGCCAAGAGCAAACCAAGCCGAATGCAACCAACAGTTCATTCAAGATTTGGGGCAGCCTTCTGTCAACCCGAGCTGCATAAACTCACCCCGAGCCTACCAAAACCTTCCATACCAAAGACCTAGACCCCATTCCACCCAGGGTGTTTCAGATGGTTGGAGGTAAGCATGAGAAGGCACCACGTCTTGCTGGACCCATCCATGACTGTTGGAAGATGAGCAGATGTGAAACATTATTGACCAACTGGCAAGCGGCGGCGGCGAATGTTGAGCAAACCTGCCTGAATCCATCTTGCACCAAGCGCCACCACCAGCCTCGTGGTCAGACTCAGGTACGCTGCTGCTTTGGCAGCTTTCACGCAGCCTGTGGTGTGAGCTACCAGGTGCTTGACCTGTGCCGCTCAGTTTGGACAGGCGAGGGTTTTCACAAAGCCATTTCACCAGGGAAAGTGGGATACCCCCGCAAATGGGCCCGTGTTGTTTCAGGATTGGTTTAAATGGAAATCAAAAGGAAGCCACCCTGTTTTGGCGACCCCTGTGTTGACAAACGGTCCTGCGGCTATGTGCCCATATTTCCGCTTGGGGCTTGGGGTTTTGGGGGAAGTGGAAGCCATTTTGGCAGCACAGGAGTTGGAGACCAACTAAGATTCCCTTTGCAGCCAGGGGCGCGGGTTTGAAACCGTGCTCCCTATATTTCCAGCCATTCAACAAGAACCAGCAATAAAAGGGCAGCCATTGGGCAAGTAAGCAGTTGTCAAGCAGAAGACTTAGGGCAGCCAACCAGGTCAAATCTTTGACCATTTCGCCTGTCACTGCCTTTGGTTCAGGGCTTTCAAGAAAACGAAGCCTGGCAGCCTTTCAGGTCATGGAGACCCGTGTGCGGTCTTTACCCGCGGCCTCTCAGTGAGCCGTGGGCAACGAGCTGTGCCCTTATCATTGAATCATCTGATTGGCGTCGAGTTCTTTTTCTTTGTCTTCCCTGCCAAGCGGGAAGCCTTGCAGCTCTGCGCTAGTGACCTGAGAAGAACGTGCGCTGTGCTTGGATGGCACCCGTAAGCTTCTGTGAGGGCACCACAGGATCTATGGCCAAGGCCACTTCTTTGGGGTCTCTTCTGGCTTGTGGAAACTACCCACATTGCACCCGGAATCCTAGAGCCGGTGTCAGAATTCTTCCGAGTTTCTTGTTGCGAGCTCCTGCGAGCGGGTCAAGCATTCGTCCCACGGCAGTTTCCCCCTTTTGGCTCACGGCCCGGCTGAGGCTGTCGAATAGCGTGCGGCGCGCTGGTGCAGGAGGCCTACAAGCGCGGCAGCGAGGCGACGCCCGCCGTCCCCCGCCGAAGAAGCGAGGGCAGTCTGTTTGCAGTCCCAGGCCACAGCCATCTCCCCTGACTGAGACATGTGTTCTCTGCTTACGGAGTGTCCCCTTCGTATCCTTGGCTTGGACCTGCTTATGAGGCGGGTTGACCATCCAAGGGTGTTTGTGATTGGAGTTTGCTGCGGTGCGATCCGGGAACCCGGATTTGGGACATGCTATGCACTGGTCGTTTGTATCCTCATCATCTACTCCTGATGGACGAGAGAAGAACCTCGGCTGTTGTTGTGTGAATGCATGTGTCCTAGGTTGTTCAACATCAATCCCGAATCCGTATGCCAAACGCAAGTTGTTTCCATTGTTGTAGTGGTGTCCCACCTTGGATCACAGACTAGGATTAGGATTGGGGATCCCCCCAACCGAAGTCAAGGATAGTCGTGTCCTTGCTTTCGGTTTCACGCAAGGCCTGAGAACCAACTAGCTTTGCCGTCCAAGTCTTTGCGACCGCCAGGACAACCTCACGGTGATCTTCGTCCGCTTTGAGTGGAAAGGCGGCTCTAGAGATCGCCATGGGACCAGCGCGGGCAAGTGATGTTCAAAGGCTGCACTTGGGAGTTTGGGCTCCCCACCAATCAAAAGCTCACTCATTCATGACGCTGGGCATCCTTTCCTGGCTGAGCCGTCCGAACGGGCCATTGCCAGGCGGATACGAGGAGGCGCCGGTCCGGCCGTCTAAAGGGATCTCAGGTCGAAGCTTGAGCTGGCTTGCATGCGGCCACTGTGTATGGCACAAGCCGCTTGAGAACCTGAAAGGCGCCCAATGTTTAAGACATGCTGAGCGAAACCCAAAGTACGTCCCCCCTGCGAGGTGTTGGACAGCTATGGGTATTTTGCATGGTTTCGTGCTGTAATATATACGTATATGGTACAGCGCTGCCAGCCCCCCCGCCCCCCCCCAATGGTCATGGGTCAGACAAGTACCCCCCCCCCCCCTGTGGTTGTGGTCCTGTGGTTGGGTTGTGGTGGTTTAGGGTTGGTTTAGAATTGGTTTAGGACATATTTAGGGTTAGCTTAGGGTTGGTTTCGGGTTGGTTTCTGTTGATTTAGGGTTGGTTTAGGGATTTTAGGGTTGGTTTAGGGTTGGTTTAGGTTTAGAGGTGTACGGTTTAGGGTTTGGTTTAGGTTTTGGTTTAGGGTGTATTTAGGGTTGGTTTAGGGTTAGTTTAGGGTTGGTTTAGGGTTGGTTTAGGTTTAGGGTTTGTTGTTTAGGGATTGGTTTAGGGTGTATTTGGAGTTAGTTTAGGGTTGGTTTAGGGTTAGTTTAGGGTTGTTTTATGTTGGTTTAGTGTTGGTTTAGGTTTAGAGGTCTACGGTTTAGGGTTTGGTTTAGGGTGTATTTAGGGTTGGTTTAGGGTTGGTTGCGGGTTGGCTTGTCCTGGGGGTGGGGGTGCCGGGGTGTCGGGGTGCGAGTTAGGTGTAGGTGCCAGGATCCGGGGGCTCGGGGTCTTGGGGGACCCATACCAAATGGGGGGGGGGGTAGCAACACGGAACACGGGACCATATATATATATATATGCTACCGCCCCCCCCCAGGGACCTACCTTTTGGCTGCCTCTCCAGTGCATGAATTGCCCATCTAGGACTGGGAGGAACGATCTCTCAACTAGGACCAGGACCAAATGAGACTAGAACCCAGGATCTCTGAACTGGGACTAGGACCAAACTAGGACTAGACGACCCACCTCAGATTCTTACAAAAAATGAACTTCAAGTATAACTTCCTCTGCAATGTCCTGTATATGTTCTAATTGTTGCAGTAAACTAGGGAGCAACCTAACACTAGAACCAAGGATCTCTCATCTAGGACCAAACTAGGACTAGACCATTTGATTCTACTTCTTATAGTATTTGGATGTCAAGTATTACATTCTGGTGGAAAAAAAGTCCTGTTTAATATTTGGTCCTAACATGTAAATTCTGACTGGATATTCTCCTTATTTCAAATTCAATTGTTCAGCTAGAAGTTGCATAGAACTTGACTAATATATTAACTACAATTCATAACGACCTTCCTTTGTAATGTCCTTTATACGTTCTATGTATTTCAGTAAGCTGGGACCATACTTGGCCCATAACCAAGGATCTCCCAACTAGGACTAGGACCAAACTAGGACTAGCTAGTTCTGAAAGTGATTGAATTTCAATGTACAATGGTCTATTGGACAGAAAATAGTTTGTACCATTTAATTTGACATAAACAGTCAATATTTAAGTTCGAATCTAAATCGCAATTTTGGCTGGAGTATGTCCTTCTTAAGCTGCATTGAATTTCAATCAGAAATAAGGTTGAATTTGATAAAACATACTAAGTGGAATGCATAAGGAACGAATCCAAAGGTCCCAAACTTGTGTCTTTCACTAGTCCTAACACTACCTTGGTCAGAAAACACCGTAAAACACAGTGTTGTGTAGCGTTTTTCATACTCAATTCACATCTCCACCAACGAACGCTCTCTAAATGCTCATTTGAACTTGAACAGGATTTAATTGGGACTCAATACGGAAATATTTGGTCAGAATCCTAATAGTAATCAAATTTGAGATTGCGAGTTTAAATAGAGTTCCTTTTCCAATATATACTTGCAATTCAATATGAGCTTTAACAGGATTTGATAAGGAAAGAACCCATATTCTCTAGACAAGTCTTCTTTGCAAACGCGAGTCCAGGCCCGAGTGAAACCCATTGAGACCGACTGAAATTTCAGTTGAGCCTGGGTTCAAGATTCCCTAGAAAACTTTGACCTGCAATCTTGAATGTGGGCCTAGATTGAAACAGGTTGAATGAATAATCAGGACTTGGATGCTTGCACAACACTGTGCTAAAGTACAGCCGCGCAAAGTGCAATGTTGAATTTGGGTCTCGATTTAAACCGATTTAAACCGATTTAACTTAAATCGGGCATGGATTCAAGAATCCAGGCCAAACTTTTCCAGGGATTCTTGAATCCAGGCGTCGATTTAAACCGATTTAAACCGATTTCACTTAAATCGGGCATGGATTCAAGATTCAAGAATCCAGGCCAAACTTTTCCAGGGAGTCTTGAATCTTGAATCTTGAATCCATGCCCGATTTAAGTTAAATCGGTTTAAATCGGTTTAAATCGACGCCTGGATTCAAGAATCCCTGGAAAAGTTTGGCCTGGATTCTTGAATCTTGAATCTTGAATCCATGCCCGATTTAAGTTAAATCGGTTTAAATCGGTTTAAATCGGTTTCAATCAAGCCTGAAGCTTCCAGAACGTCCTTGGAAATGCTTCTTTTTCATTGCTCTCCCCAAAGCCCAAAAAAGGGTAGAAAACACTGCAAATACCAGTGAATTCATCAAAAAGGTAGGTCCCTGGGGGGGGGGGGGTACCATATATATATATATATATATGTACTTATACAGAAAGATGCATACATGGTTCACTTATAATGTGAGTCGGAGGCCGGAAAGTGTCTAGATCCTGGTTGCCGCTCTTTGAGTCAACACTTCATTCATTTTGTAAAGGAGGGCAAGTACACTTTGGTTTGTAAGCTCGCCTATGTCCGTTTAATGTTTACACCAATTGTTCTTATCCTTCATTGTTGCTCATCATGTTTACATGTGCTGCCTTCTTACTTTACGCATGTTCTTATTGTTCATGATGAAGTCGTGCTCTGCTGGATGTTGGACCGCCGCTCAGGCGCCGCTGCCCAAAGACCACCCCTTCGTGAAGGCGATGCTCGAGGCGGCCAGCAAAGGCGGGGTTTCGTTCGGGGTTCGCGACGCGCGAAGCGCTGACAGATGAACTGAACCTTTGATCTTGGTTGTTGTTGTGACACATTTCACCTTTACCTTGTTGGTTGATTGGTTGTTGATCTCGGTTGTTGGGACACATTTTACCTTTTTGCTTGTGGTTTAGTGGTTGAAATCCCCACACTGAACTGCTCAAATGTGATTTTTTGCTTCCAACGTCAACCAAGTAATATTGACCCCGTATGAATCAATCCAAGTTTATGAATAGGGGGGTTCCCTCCAGAAGTGATGATTCTCCACTAAACCCAGGCACACACCCCTATCAATAAACTGGGTTTGATTAATATGGGACTATGTGGCAACGGAGCTTTGGACTTTAACTTTTTCGGAAAACAGTGGATTGCACATAGAACCCACAAAAAGTTGAACTTTTGCATATGGGGTCAACAGCAATTCAGAAACATAGTTCCGTTCTTTATCCTCTTTTTGTAGATCACACCCAAACCGAACAGGTCAATAGTGGGAACATATGGGCCTGGAAGCCTTGCCCTCTTTTCAACAGTCATGAAGAAGTGAACATGGCGAGTCTACGTACACCCTCCTGACAGCTTCCATGGGATGATATGGCCTGGAATGCCACTGGCAACTTGAAGGAAGGGCTGCACCACAGGCAATGCAATGTGGTCGTTTCATACTGTCCAACCGAGGGCCATGCATGGGGTTTGATCAAAAGGTCCTTTGGGATGACCATTGAAAAAAGCCACGAAGAAACTGACAATATTTGCCACTAAGTGGGAACAGTTACCCGTGGTCACTTGGGGGCCAGGATATTGAATCAAGCCCCGCATGAAAGATTTCCTTGTCAGATGTGTATGAGCTTTCAAGTCTTAGGGCAATCTTGGGCAGGATGCTCCTGTTTGAAAGAGAGTCCGCCCTTACTTCGAAAGCATGAGACGGATCACGAGCCGACAGCTCCCGAGCCTTCTGATCCCTGAAGCAGGAAGATGTTCGGGGAGAAGCGGGAGGCTGCCAATGAACTCAACAGAGGGCATCGCTTTCACCAGGTTATGCCATTGACCGTTGATTGGACACAACATCTGCACTGCAACGCGGAGAGGAGTCTCGTAGCCAAGCAACGGAATTATCCCACAGACACACAGCTAGGACAGTTTGTTCCTTGTCAATGCCTGAAACTCCACATCAAACCAGCTTGATTCAGCTTGATCTTGAACAAGGTGATCCTTAAAGGGATTCTTCCACATCTGTTCGGCAGGAACAACTGCAGCTGCTGCTTCAAAGAAGAGGCGCCAGGAGGCGGCCGCGAGCGTGAAGCGGCAGAAGGTGGACGCTTACGAGCCGCAGCCCCGGAGTGCCGTTCCCATGGAACCCGTCTGGAAATCGAACCATGGCAAGCGACGGCTTTCCTTTCCTGGTGCGATAGGGAATGACCGAGCCAGGGCTTTGGGAACGAACCGGAAGGGGATTGGAAACCATAGGGTGTGTTTTATAGCGGACCAGATCCCTCAACCTGAAACATAGAATACGCTTGACGGCCAAGGATTTCTCTGCCATTTGCCACTACGAATGCTTGGTTGCTTGCACCACCTTGCACCACCCTCCATGCACTGCGGGAATCTGCGGCTCCTTCCAGTTCCGCCGCGTGTGAAGCTGCCTCGACCAAGGCGCTTAGTTGCCCAGGAGGAAGCCAAGGAGAAGGCCGGGCAAGCTGGTCTGACGGGAGAGCCACTCGGACGTCTCAGGATCTATGGTTGGTGAAGGGCGTAGCTTTCGTTCATGAGCATGTTGCCCAGTTAGCACGCGCGATCAGGAGACATTGTACATATATATATATATATATGCATACAGTGTGTATATGTATATATATACATATATATATATATGCATACAATGTGTATATATATATATGTGCTACCACTCCCAGCCCCCTGATGGCTGATTTGGTGGCCCCAGGATCTTGTGTACAAAAGCTGGAGAGGATTGCCAAAGGTCCCTGTTTAAGACTTGGAGAGAATTGCAGCACTGCAAAACAACATGAGCTTTCTAGGATTCCAGCATCATAATTCTTAGGGCCCTTATGAGAAGAAATGGAATCCAGAGATTGCCATGTGCAATGGCAAACCTTGCCATAGATACCAGGCACTTTTGTTAGGATACTTTGCAAGAAAGTAAACAGAAGGTGTTCCACTACACGAGCCAGATTTGCAGAATGCAGCTCTGAACCTTAACTTTGGACACCATGTCATTGATCAGTTGCTGGAGTTTCTCGAAGAAACGTATGCAGTTTGTTTGAGTCTGTCCGAAGAGTCTTAAAGTTGAAGACAAATTCAGGGATACCCTGAGAGAGGAGCCAACCGAGAGGTCTGTTTGCCTTACAGGATGAAACCCCCAAAAAAAACAGACCATACTGTGCAAGTTTCAATTGCCAGCAACACTGATTTGTTCCGTGAGAATACGGACGCAGGGCATCATTCAGTGCTCTTTGGAGGGGGGAAACCCACGGATGCAAAAATATATTTGCGTGTGTGTGTGTGTGTGTGTGTGTGTAAGACTACTTACATGAGTATTGTGAGCAACGTAGTGGCAGTGTTTGCAAAGTATGATGTTCCGGTCTTCTGGAAAGTTGTGGGTTCGTAGCCGTTTCAGCGAACATTGCTTACCCGATGTTCCTCAGCCGGCTTGACACTCAGCACCTGATCCTTGTCTGTTGGCCGGCCCTGCCACTTGCCCTGGCTCAAGTTGTGTTCACGACTTTGATGCCAATGGAAGGGCATCGCCCAGCAGCCTGCCATGCGAAAGAGCAGAACCAATGCGCGGTTCGCAGCTATGGGCGGACATATCACCATGAGATTTAGCAGGGGACTTTGGATCCTTCAGAAACCTGCCAGAGTTCCTGCCCAACACTATTTGTCCTGAAGTAGTTTGCACCGTATTCCCTTTTTTTTCAGGCACTGACAGTGGGACCTCAAGCTCTACTTGAGCCGTGCAACACACGGCAGCATTTCAGAAAGCCACGAGTCCAGTCCCGGTTGCGCCCCGCTTGAGCCCGGGCGCATCCGCGCACCATGAAGCTGCCTCGCTCCATCATGGACCGCGGGCGGCACGGGGGTTGAAGCACATGGCACACGGAAAGAGCTATCAATTCACACCTGATTTGCAGCCAACAGACTTTAAATTATCCGGGTGGCTTGAGCCGACCAAATGCGTTTTTGTCCTGGCGCAAAGTAGCTCGAATCTCTCGCTGCAAGTACGTACTCGTTCCTCACCAGACTCTTTTTGTAACTGTTGTAGATTGGGTGGCTTTGCTGGGTTTGGCCGCTGTCGATTTACAGTGGTTCGCGGCTGCGAGCGGTGCTCGACCGACTGCGCAGCCAGCTCGAGCCCGTGATCGTTTTGTTACCCCTCCCACGATGAATCTGTCTGCCAGCTGGCATAAGCCTCAGGGGAGCCTGCTGGAAAACTGCTTCCTGAGCTCAGTCTGGGGGCGAAACTGTCTTGGACCCACAAGGGAGTTACTATCACGTGGAATGAAGAGTCGAAGAGTGTGCTACCTGCTTCCCGTAGAGATGCTGTCAGATAGTTCGAGTTAGAGTCTTCAAAGTTGTGCCGGCGTTGACCATCATATGCTGACTTTCTTTTCTTCAGCCACGTAGGGAATGGCCCCGCATGATGAGGTGATAGCCTGAAGACAATCAGATTGCAACAAGCAGCCTGGGTGCAGAGATCAGGGATCAGGCGGAGCCTCCAGACGGATGCACATAGAATTGTCGATCTGGCAAACGCCGCTAAAATTGACTGATCTAAGGTTCACCCTAAAAACATGGCATGTGTGTTGGAATCCTCGGCTTGATTGGTCGAACAGGAGTCTAATCTTGCCCTTGAAGCTCCAGTAACTTTTTTCTGTGTTCCCCTTGACCCCCAAGAGAGGCGCACGTCGAGCTTTAGGAGCGACTCAGATGGGCCGGGCCTTACCGCATCGCTGCGGTTTGTGTCAGGGCCTAAGCATAGAGGCGAGTGGGGGGAATGCAAGCAAATTGTGCGGCTTTTGGGAGAAAAAGCTGGAGAGTTCCGGTTCGATTCTTGTGTGGTTGGCCATAACCACGCAGTGGAGCTCAGCTGGTGCAAGGCTTTTTTTTTTGCTGACGTGCAGGCTGATCTGATTTTCGGTTTGATGTTTAACCTGTTTAGCCTATTGTCACATAGCAGTTCCTCCACGAATTGGCAATCTGTTGAAAACTGGTCCAGTTCCTTGCGGGGATCACCTTGCCGGGGTCCAAAGACCATCCCAGAGTAAAGAGGATGGGAATCTTGTGCATTGACAGTCCCTAAGAGTTTGAAGACTCATTTTGCCATCATGGCAGAGACTACCATTGCTTGTGTGGATAAGGATATTTTGTGCTTGTGCTTGTTCCTTTGCAATATATGGGAATCTGACTCGTTCCTGTGAATTAGGGTCTTCATCTGTAGCCCGTGCCACGTGCGCTTTGCCAGGTCTTTACAGCCTACTCCGGCAAGTGGTTCTGGGACTGGCAAGCCATGCGACGGTTTGTGTGCATGTCTCATGCAGATTCCGTAGGTTGATTCATTATCCATGGATTTGTGTGAGGGAGTTTTTTTTTTTTTTTCTTGTGTGTGTGTGTGTGTCTCTGTGTCTCTGTGTCTCTGTGTCTCTGTGTCTCTGTGTCTCTGTGTCTCTGTGTGTCTCTATGTGTCTCTGTGTGTCTCTGTGTCTCTCTGTGTCTCTGTGTCTCTGTGTCTCTGTGTCTCTGTGTCTCTGTGTCTCTGTGTCTCTGTGTCTCTGTGTCTCTGTGTCTCTGTGTCTCTGTGTCTCTGTGTCTCTGTGTCTCTGTGTCTCTGTGTCTCTGTGTCTCTGTGTCTCTGTGTCTCTGTGTCTCTGTGTCTCTGTGTCTCTGTGTCTCTGTGTCTCTGTGTCTCTGTGTCTCTGTGTCTCTGTGTGTCTGTGTGTCTGTGTGTCTGTGTGTGTGTGTGTCTGTGTGCGTGTGTGTGTGTGTGTGTCTGTGTGTCTGTGTGTCTGTGTGTCTGTGTCTGTGTCTCTGTGTGTGTGTTTGCGTGTCTCTTCTGCACGTCGTGTTTGTGGGGTAGGTGTGAGAGGGCCTATTTTTGAGCAAGGGCACGTTCTTTAAGCATCAGTCAGCTTTTGGATCACCGCCCATCACAGGAAGAGCAGTTGGGCATTTGCAATTAAGATCAATTAAGGAACCAGGATGTCTCCGTGATTTGCCATGGGTTGTGGCGACGTGCTGAATCTGAGATCTCTCAGTTTTGCCGCTGGCAAAACAAGATGCATGAATCGGATCTCTGAGTTTGTGCTCTCGCCGCAGCAACGTATCTGCGGAAACGCTTTCAGGACAGCTCTGCCTACGTCTACGGCATTTTTGGAAAGAACCTGACCCTGGACTGGGGCACTGCCTGCACACTTGGAGCTGTCTTCGCTACACTGGCATCAATTGATATAGTTCTCAAGGTCTTAGCTTGATCCCTGCTCAAGCTTCAGATTCACATAACGCCTTGACACCTCACAACCCTGGGGGTCCGCGCCCAATCCTTGCAACCTAATGAATTGTTCCTCATCAAAATGTAATTGATATTGAAAGGAAAAAACATATTCTTAGGGCGCCCCTGGGTCCTGGTTGGCGTGGGTTGGTAGTTTTGGTTTCCTGTTCCGTGTAGGAGGGTCAGCGGAAAGCAGCCAAGTGCTCCAGAATGCAATCAGCAACAAGCGTAAGTCACCACGGTTGAGTGTTTTGTGGTTTGCTTCTTTCTTTTCCGGGCCCAAACAAGTCAACAAAACACGGTTTCCAAGTAAAGAAAGTAAACCGGTATATATAAACATAGAAAGCGAGAGAGAGAGAGAGAGGACATGCTTTGCAATATGTACTGGTGCTTACCTGGTGCCAAATCATAGGAATCGTATTGGTTCAGAGTTGGCCGAACTCTAATTTTACACAGAGAGAAACTTGCTTTTTCTTACTAGGGGGACCTTGATTATTTAATGGCCTGCGGCCTGGTTCCCCCGCCCCCATACACCTTAGAATTTCGGCCCGGGGCGAGAGAAAGCACGCGTGCACAGACCCGTTCGCGGACACGAAGACAGACGCAGATACGTAGACAGACACAGACAGACACAAAGAGAGACAGACAGAGAGAAAGAAAGAAAGAAAGGAAAGAAAGAAAGAAAGGAAGGAAGGAAGGAAGGAAGGAAGGAAGGAAGATCGGGGAGGAGGGGGGAGGGGGCGGGGAGGGGGCGGGGGGGGGGCAGGCAGAGAGGGGGGGGAGGGGGGAGTGGGGGAGGGGGGCAGGAAAAGAGCGGGTGGGGGGGGGGGGGCGGAACATCCAGACATCCAGAGATCCAGAGATCCAGAGATCCAGAAATCCAGCCGACGTATTTTCCCGCCCCAAGGGAAATATATAATATATACATAATTATATTCACATTAAACCTATAGAAAACATATCAACAAAAGCACATGGGGTCGGCGGATTTGGAGGAAGTCAATAGAAACTGCACGATTTGCCAGCAATATCTCTGTATCAGACAGCTGGAGTTTGACATGTTCCAGACTTGGCATGTCTTGCCTTTCCTTTTCGCCAAGCGGTTTTGGAAGCGCAAGCCCTGGCAGCCCCTCCAGGACTCGCGGCGGCCTCGCTTCGACCCTGAGCGGGTGCCATTGAGAGAGCCGAGGATCGCGAGAGTCACGAGAGTCACGAGAGTCGGGACGGGGTGGGCATTTCATTTTTGCCGTGAATCATTCAGGGGGCTTTTTCTAGGGTCCTCGAGTTTGCTGGACTTTAATTTTTTGGGGGTTGGACCCAGAAGTTTAAAGTCCAGGAACATTCTTTGGGGTTGTTTAGTGGCAAACAAAAAGTTTGGAAACATTCTGGCCCATCAACTCAGGAAGTGAGGCGAGGTTCTCATTATTCAAGGGTTTGAAAGTGATTGGCACCAGGCTTTCTCAAACGTGGGCTTTTGGGAGCTGCATGCGCGAGACCACCCGGGCTTACCTTTTTTCCATTCATTGGAAATGCAAAGAAACCTGAACAGTGTGAAACCTTTCCACTGCCCTTTGCCACGCCAAGAGCCTTGGAACGCCCCTGCTTTGGCCATCCTTGGTGGCGCCCCGCATTTCTCTCGTTCGCTAGGGAATGACCAAGCGGCCGCCCTGGCCCTGGTGGAACTCGAAGACTCGGCGCCTACGTCTATGTGCGCAGGAGTCTAAGCGGGAATGCCCGCGAGGGATGGTTTGAGCTGCTGTGAGGCAGATCTGTGGCAGACACAGGCTGAACTATATTTAGCCCCCACTTTTAGTCCCGCTTCTAGCCATTTAGCCGCGCAGACACAGCTGATTTGGCTGTATTTGTTCAGCTGGCAAACGGAGCACCACAGCTACCTTCTTTTGATTTAGGGGGTGTTTTCAGACAGGGGGCCACTAAAAACATGGGAAACTGCTGTTTTCGGGGGTTCCCCTACTTCTCAAACATTTGCAACTGCAGAGTCCGTTGCGTATTGGTCTTGAAATGTAACCAGCTTTTGTGCTTTAGATTGGATTGTCACCTCCTGTCCGCTGGTTTTGGCAAGCCTTTCACGTGCTTCGCCTCTAAGGCCGCAGATTTTCAGCAGGAATCGCGCGGCGGCTCCGCCTGAAAAAAGAGCTTCGGTGCAGTTTCTGCGCATTTCGGTTTGGGAATTGCCTGAGTGCTTCCTCAACTGGAGTTGGGACCACCTCCTTTTTTTCGGCCGCAAGATCTGGAAAGGAGGTCACGCCTGACTCTAGCTGTTGCGTGGTCGCCCTCAGTGGAGAGTGCATCCTGTTTCACGTTGCCTTTTGGATTGGTGAGTTTGACTCAGCCCGCACCCGAAACGAAGCATTGTGTACCTCTCTGCCAGGGCGTCCCGGGGAATGGTGCAGCAAAGAAGGCGAGCGGTGAGTTGATGCATGGGCCCGGCCGCAGGGTTTTTGCAGCAAGTGTGGGTTGGTCAACAAGTCCAAACATCGACTTAGGGTGTTTTCCGCAAAAAGCTGGAAGAACAAGGGATTTATCATAGCCATACGTTGACTACAGCTTACGCGTGACAACCCACATGGGCCACGGTCAGCATCATTATTTGGCATGTCAAACAGAAATCGTGCTCATGTACGCAGTGGAAGACAAGTACGATGGTGTCGGGGTTGACGAATTACATGATCTCCAAAGTGCTACTGAGTTGTTTGGTTCGGGAGCGAGGAATGTGATATCGAGCATCCACCATATTTGCCTTCAGTGCCATGCGTTTGATCGCGAGCAAGGGGCGATATGTTTGACATGCTGCCATGTTCAGGTCACCCGCACTCAAGCATAAGAGCGGTCGTGGCAGGAAGAGGCAAAGCCGGCAGCCAAACCGGAAGCCAAACCGGAAGCAAAGGAGGAGAAAGAGACGGAAGAAGCGAAGGAGGAAGATGATGAGGGTTGGGGCCCCGGGCACTGGAGTTTTGCAGAGTCGTTGCCATCCGCGCTGACAATCTCGATGGTCAACTGTTGATTTGGAGAAGCTGTGAAGAGGCTCAGCAAGTTTTCGCAAAAATGCAGCGCCCACCGCCCACCTAATCTTTGCCTTTGGGAAAGTCAGAGGCCATTTCAATGGTCGTTCATGCTACACCCGCCCGTGCTGAGACATGACGTTTCTGTGAGCCGCGCTGGCGCTTTCAAGGCGACGTATCCGCAGAGCCAGCAGGGGTTGGGCGCCCTTAAAATGGAAACCAACAAGGGGTTGTTTGAGCAGTGGTTTTAGCATGTTTGGACAAGTTGGAACCCTGCCTTGTTGCCTTGCACTTTAGTGTTACACGTTTGTTCCTGAAACGGGTTTCTGGCCTTCTCTTTGGGCATTTGCGCGCTCTGGGGAGCTTGCTGCAAGTTAATGACTGCCTCCGCAGAACGGCCGCATTATCAGAATCGCTAACGAAAAGGAGTCCATGCGGGGTGTCCTTGAGAGAGGTAGAGACCAGAGAGGGCAACGGAACAGAGTTGAAGCTTCAGAGTGATCCTCGTTCAAAGAGAGCAGACATCCTTCTCCGAAGGCAGGATGCATTCTGAGACATGTGCACTCTCGACTCTGGCTCAAGAAATTTAAGACAGGGAAGCTGACAGCTCAGGCGCTTCGAGCTGCGTGGAGTTCGCCGTGCTTCGAACATGTGTTCTGTGTGGTGAAGTTTTACTAGAAGTGACATTTGTTTGCTTGACTTGGCCGGTCGATCAACCGCCGTTCAGCCCCCATAGATGTGGCCTTGATATGTTTGCACTTGTCAGTTGCCACAACACAAAACCCATTTAAGAGAATGAGGGGAACTTTCGGGCACCTGGGTTTCACATCCAATTGGTTTGCCCGGCCCTGGCAGGTTGCCTTGAGGTATGTCGGCGCCAGAGGCCGCGATGCTTCCCATATATGCGCGCATGTGTGTATGTGCGTGTTGTGTGTGTGTGTGTGTGTGCGTGTTGTGTGTGTGTGTGTGTGTGTGTGTGTGTGTGTGTGTGTGTGTGTGTGTGTGTGTGTGTGTGTGTGTGTGTGTGTGTGTGTGTGTGTGTGTGTGTGTGTGTGTGTGTGTGTGTGTGTGTGTGTGTGTGTGTGTGTGTGTGTGTGTGTGTGTGTGTGTGTGTGTGTGTGTGTGTGTGTGTGTGTGTGTGTGTGTGTGTGTGTGTGTGTGTGTGTGTGTGTGTGTGTGTGTGTGTGTGTGTGTGTGTGTGTGTGTGTGTGTGTGTGTGTGTGTGTGTGTGTGTGTGTGTGTGTGTGTGTGTGTGTGTGTGTGTGTGTGTGTGTGTGTGAGTGTGTGTGTGTGTGTGTGTGTGTGTGTGTGTGTGTGTGTGTGTGTGTGTGTGTGTGTGTGTGTGTGTGTGTGTGTGTGTGTGTGTGTGTGTGTGTGTGTGTGTGTGTGTGTGTGTGTGTGTGTGTGTGTGTGTGTGGTCTCTGTGTTTGTGCTTGTGTTTGTGTTTGTGTTTGTGTTTGTGTGTTTGTGTCGCGTTTAGCAGCCGAACGACATGGAAGACCCAAGAGGTAGGTAAGACGACATTGTGATGTTTTAATAACTCAAATGGATATCATTCGAGTGGATTGGACATGAATCTCCAGACTTGCCGCAGCCAATCTCGTGTTCATGTCCCCGTCAACTGCGCTCTTCCCCAGGTGGCATACTCACTATGGGGGGTCCACATCCCTGAGGACATATATCCAACCTAGAACATCTTTGGGATGGTTTTGAAAGGCCACCAGCATTACCCGTCCTCCCTGCTTTTGACCCATTAAGAGGCTCCAGCGGGCAATTCTTTTCGGAGCCAGGCATTTCGCGTCTACCGGCAAACCCTGCGAGCAGCTGGACAGTTTACTGCGGGACACCAAGTCTTTGCGCGACTGGACTCCTTGCACCCACAACACGCATTTCTGGGCCCCGGCGATGCAGCCAGTGCCTTTCAGAGTAATACATGATGCTCGGAAGGTTCTCTTCACCTGCCACGCAGTCAGAGTAAATACATGACGCTTGCAAAGTCTCCTTCTGCCATGCTGAAGAAGCACGAGGTCAAGCCAAACGAAAAGCGAAGCGTTGCCAACTCCTAAGGCTCAAGCCCGCAGGCACGCATTGCCATGACATTCGCTCTCATTCTACTCAAGAAAACTTACACACATTTTAACAAACATGTTCAAGTAAGCATCACAAAGCACCTCGGTGCATCAAGTAATAATTGTTTTATCAAGACGCATCACTTAGATGTGAGTTATTTGACGGTCGACTCGCAAGTGTTTCTCTCCATATTGCTCGGAAATTGTGACGCGTGGATCTGTGCAATGTGGTGCGCATCCTGACGCGTGTTATGCTCTGTGTTCGTTTTTCATGAACATATCACCTAGAGCCACATGATGTGAGCCGAATCACTTACTATGACCGTGTTGTTTGATCTAGTCATGCTTGTCTCGCCAATGTGCGTGCGCCATTCTGATAATCGCTTCAAATTCTAGATGCTACATCCCATTTGCTAAGTCCGAAGCTGGCCACTCAAATGAGTTTGCTGCAACCTTCCGAAGCAGTCAAATTCAAGCTCGATTGCAAGTAAAGACTAGTATTCGTTTGAGGTCATAATATATAGTTCAAACATTTGGGTGCGTGTGTTTCAGGGAACCCCTGTTGGGGTTGTTTGAACGGGAACCAAAAAGAAGAGCCACTATTTTGGAGGGCCCCCTATTTGGGCACATACCCAGCCGTGGCGTGTCGGTCCTGAGGACTACAATTTTCGGCACTACTTTGCCCGAAGAGCCAGGGAAGATTTTCGAGCACTGGACTTAGCGGATGGCATTTTAATGAGTACACGTTTTGGCTTCTTACAGAAGCCAACCAAGTTCTTGCTGGTTGGTGCGGGCGACTATCAGCTTGTGCATTCTGTTGGTTTGGTTCATTTGTGTATGAATCCATAGGCTAGCCATAGATTCATTCCAAGTTGATTCGTGGATTCAAGTTTATGTTTGGGGTGCAAGCAGTGGCCGTGACACGTTTGGCTGCCAACAGACCGATTGCCAGAACCGTGAGGCCGCAGGAACGACCCGGTGCCAAAGCACGTAACAATACGATACTGTGCCTGGAGCTTGTTTGTTTGTTTGTCTATTTGTTTGATAGCCCCGTTTGTCTATGATTTTGTGTGTCTGTCTGTTTGTCCTCTGTCTCGGTCTGCCTGTTCCGTCTGTCTGTTTTTGTCCGTCCGTTTGTCGGTCTGTCTGTCTTCTTGCCTGTTGGTTTGTTGCTTTTGTGTTTGTTTGTTGGCTTGTTTAATTTGCTTGGTGTGTTCGTTTGGCTGGCATGCTTGTCTCTTTGCCTGCGTGATTTTCTGGTTTCTGTGTTTGTCCGTTTGCGCTCGTGGGTCGTGCACCTTGCTCGGAGGCCTTCTTCAGCCCGGGCCTCGTTCGCCCGGGGGAAGCGTTTCTCGCGGGAGGCAATGAAGCCCTTTGAGTTTGCGCGTGTAAATCTATGATTGGGATGATCTCCATTCTGGAAATCAAACTCTGTAAAGAGAACAAGTGGAAAGTGGGGCATGAGGCAATCTATTACTCCAGTCATGCGCATGTCATGCGCCAGTTCGGGCAGGGGTTTGCCCATCCAGTGTCTTTTGTCTGTGCCACATGGGACGCGTGAAGTTAGCCTCTGGCCGCATGTTCCTTTGGCGATTCCCTGAAAATAATGTTGAAGGGCAGCAGCAAAGTCGCAATGTCTGAAAGTCGTCGTTTTGCTTCCTCCTTAGGGCAAGGAATGCGTATCACCCCAGTGGTTCAAACATTTGAGCCTTTGAATGGCCCACCCCAGATGACTCCTTGATTCACTGACAGGTCAGGAAAGGCAAGCAGACGATGCAAGCCGAGAGGCAGGAGCGTGGGGCCAGTCCGTGGTCTTCATTGCTTTTGCTCGGATACTGTATTGACCTCGGTCTGCAATGAGTTTCACTTCATTGGCTCCGTGGCATGTTCCCTTCTCGCCATCGTCTGAGCTCAATTGACTTCTGGCAGTCAGGCTTTCATGCAGAAGGCCAAGTCAAACTTGGAAATGCTGAAGCGGCAGAGCGTCATCAGCCAGATGTGCGGAGTCTCAGGATAAACAGATGGAGTCTTGCAAGGCATGACACCGCCATGGAGACCCCTTGGGGGAGGCTGTTCGAACATCCATATCACACGCGCCTCGAACAGGCTCATTCACTTTGGGAACCCCCATAGCCGCGATTTGAAGGCTGGAAATTGGAACCGCAGTTCTCTTGCATCTCCTTGGCTTGACACTGCAAGTTGTGCTGTTGCAGAGGAACAAGAGCTAGTCATGGACCTTCAAGGGCCTTGGAAGGGGCTGGCTATCAATCGTTCAAGTCTTATTGGGGCCTATCCTTGGCTTATCCTCCCCCCATGCCCCATGAGCTCGTAATGTGAGACTCCTCAGCTGGTCTAAGGTACAAGGTGACTGGGCCCGGTACAAACCGATGAGGCCAGGGGCCTATCTTGAGCTTCACTTTGAATCATTCATCCACCACCAACCGAGTGCCATGACTGTAAAAATCAATCGCTTCATGTCAATGTGTGGGTGGCTCGTCCTTTTGGATGTTTTCCTCTTTGTTTGGTGATTTTGATTTGAAAGCAAATCAACCAGGAACCCTGAAGCCTTCTTGCGGGTCCCCTACTGAATGACACACTCTTTGAGGCTGTGGAAGGAAGCCTCGTGGCAGTTTGTCTCTGGGTCTTGGGTCTGACGTGTGGGACCTGAACACTTGTCAATGTGTTAGCGCCCTCACTGACATGAACAACAGCATAAAGTCCTGGATTGTCATCGCTGAAGTTTGATCAGACGAAGGACCTGCGAAGGCTCGAGTGATTCGGCAGCTGGGCTGAGAGAGCAAGCATGAGCATGAACAGTGAATACGGAGAATGCTCGTTTGCGCTTGTGGAAACAATTGTATGCTTGGACTGCAGCGTGAAGTTAACAGTACTTTCTTCCGGACATGCTTGTATGTTTGTTCGGATAAAATCGTTAAATACATATATATATATATATATATATATGTATATATATACATATATATATATATATATACATATATATCTATATGAAAATACGGCTAAGGCCAACGTTTCCCGTCGCCAAGCCCTCCCAGCCCCAGACCCTGGCGGCTTTTCACGCCTTTGCGGAAAGACACAGCTCGCAGGCGGAAGGCGGCAAGTTGCCAGCCTGCAAACGCACTTCACGGGAGACGTTACCTGTCCGCTGCAAGCGAGCCTCTTTCGCAAGGCCCGCAAAATAAACCTGCAAAGGCCTGGGGTAAAAGCACAAACTTAATGCTGCAGCCTGCTGTAGGTAACACTTGACACTATTGCTCCACTCCCCACCCCTAGCAAAATAAATCCCCACCCCTTCCCATTAGGAAACAACCGAATATTTGTTGGGATTTAGTATCATATGGAATAATCGTCTCATTTTACAAACAGGTATGAATATATGTGTAGCCCTTTCTATGTACTGGATAAACATTGATGCTTATGTGTATATATATATATATATATGTATTGATGAGTAATATATGGCAACGTATATTTGTTTGTAAATGTGTTTTAATACTGTCTGAAATATTCCTCTATAACACGGTACGCCCGTGCTCGCGTCTTTGGATTGCATTAGAAGGCTTTTGTTCGGTCATTTCGGCGGTTTTCGACGATTCAGTTACAGGGTTTCGTGGTACAGTTTTTTGAGCAGATTTTGAGTTCAGTTGAGTCGGGAGTTTCATTTGTGCAGGCAGCCCATCCACCTGGCCGCTCCCGTAGCCATTTGGTTTGTAGCCATAGTTTGCCCCTCAAAGCACTAGCAGCTTAGTACGGACGCTTCTTTGCGACTGTCTCACGTTGGCCTCAGCGAGCCATGACACTCTTCATGAAAGTTCGGCTTCTTTTTGCCTTGTTGGCATGGTGTGCTGTGACAATAGTTGGCCTGGTGCTGCTGGACTTCTATCCAGCCGCCGTGCAAGCGTTGCTGGTGGCGGGCAATGCCTTGGTGGCATTGGTGAGCTTCTTCCTGACCTTCCAAGGTCCAACACCAATACCCGCCCCACTCCTGCATTGGAACCCAGAACTTCCTCGTCATGGAATGGGCGACCTCATCCACAGTGTCAACCACATCGCCATCATCGTGTCAGATGTAGGTCGGTCCCTCGCATTCTACACAGAGATCATCGGATTTCAACAGATCCAAAGGCCTAACTTTGACCGCCACGGTGCGTGGCTGACCATGGGAAACCTTGAGCTGCACTTGATCAAAGGAGTGCCAAATGCCCCAAGTGGTCGGGATCTGATTGTCTCGCACATCGCACTTGAGACAGATCATCCGGAGAAGGTCTTGGAGAAGCTCTTGGAATTTGAGGTGCCCTTCAGGCAGAATATCTCGGTTCCAGATCCCAAGAAAGCCAGAGACAACTTGGTGGAAGCTTTTGAGAACAGCGACGGCAAGATCACGCAGTACTTTGTCAGGGATCCTGATGGCTACTACCTGGAGCTTTGCAACTGTGACGTCCTCACAGCTTTCTGCCTCTTCAAGGAGAACGCAAAGGTTGGCCACACCCCGAAGTATATGCAGCTCATGGATGCCATGCTTGGCACGTACAATGAGTCCGGTCAAATGAAAGCATCCCCGTTTCGCTTTCCTCAGCTAGCCAAGACAGCCTTGGTTGTACACCGTCTCGTGCGCAAAGTGCGTGCAGAGCTGTGCAAAAGCTTCGAAGAGCGTGTGACCACTGCACTCAACGGCGTCCAAGCCGCAGCTGAACCAGATCCGAAGATGCTCGCACGCTTCTTGGCCCGACAGAAGACCTACTGTGACATTTGCCAGGGGTTTTCAGAGGAGGCTTTGGCTGCAGCCCTTTGCAAAAGTTCAAATCACGCTCCAACTGCCTTGTTGCTCCTTTCAGCTTGCCGGGCAGATGTGCGTATTTGGATGCCGCCGGTGTACTTCCTGAGCGAGGGAGGTCGAATCCAACAGCAGGTGATGGCTGTTGCGGCACCCCAGCGCAGGAGATTCGGCTCACGCAGCGTGTTTGCCTCCAAGCCTTTTGAGGATGCCAACGGCAGCTTGCACCAGAGCGTGGGCGACCTCTTGGGAGGCTTTTCAGGTCGCCCGGACGTGGCCACCCTGAATTCCTGTAAGGGCCAAGCGTCAATTGGTGGCATGCTGTCGCAGGGGTTTGAGAACGACCCAGTGATGCGGGACTACCTGCAGAAGAGCTCCAGGATTTTCTTCCGTCCCACTCAAGAGACTGAGATTTGCGTCTAGGAAGAGTTCAAGTGTAATGCAATATGTATAGTGTGTGTGTGTTTGAGAGGTAGCTTTGGTAAGTCTTGGTGAAGGCACCAAGCCGTTCCAGTGTCGAGCACAGCTTTTCCCCAGCGGCTTTGGTACAACCGGGCTGCAAACCTAGGCATGCGTGCGCTCGTAGTTCCACCTCAATCAGAACACTACTGTTTCTAATCTGACACGCAGATTTCTTGCAGGGGTCCGGTGACTTTGATAAGGCTACCGGCCTTTGTATGTTAAGTTCTAGCTTAAACAGCTACGTAGTTGGTTGATCGGCGATCGGCACTTGTTTCTCGAGAGCGAAAAGACACTTTGGTATTGTGGCTCATTATACGTAGGTTTGTGTTGGGGACCTCAAGAGTAATATATTTCGGAGTAATACGGACCATTGTTTGTCTTTTTGTTCCTGAGGCGGCATCAAAAATGTAAATAGTTCTGAATTCTATTAAAATATATATGTTTGGTAATATATATTAGACCGGATGAGATAGAGGGTTAATACGGGATTTGTTTATTTATATATATATATATATATATTAAATTTAATAAAGGGAAATGATTTTTTAGTTGAGGTGGTTGATAATGTAATCTAATTGAAATATTTGATATAATTGATTTGAAAATAGATTTAATTGAATTATAATGTATTGTATTATTGAATAAATATAATATAAATTTGTATTTTATGTAGAACAATTTATTTTGTTATAGAGATATGTGGGTAATAATTGAATTGTGTTTTTTATGTTTAATTGTTTGGAGGTATTAATAGATTGTTATATATAATTTGTGTTTGTTGTAGATATTGAAGTTTGTTTATTTTTTATAGGTGAATGAGGAAGTTTGGTTTGATGGATTAGTATGTGTAAAAATATGTTTGATTGAAGATCTTGAAATTTGTTAATTCTATGTAGGTTAATGAGAAAGATTGATTTGATGGAATAGGAAATTATTAAATTTTATTTAAGATGTTGAAAGAAATTAAATAAATGATATAAGGCAGGAGAAAGGAATGAATATTTTTTGGGATTTGGTTTATTTGATAGATATAAAGAAATTTTGAAGATATTGGAATTTAAATTATATAAAATAATTTTGTTATTTTAAATGATGTTATGGTTTGATAATTATGCGCACGTAAGGAGCGCGTAAGTGTGGCCTAAGGGATGCGTAAGGCTACAAATTTGAAAGGTTTCATATATTGATATTGCTTAGCTTTATGAAAGGACCTCGCTAAGCGAAGCCAAAGCTTCTGCAATTATAACTTCTATAATCAGCAACTAACACAACAAAATCCGCGCTAACCGCGCCCCGGCAAGACATTTAGCCATGCTGTCTCGGATGTGCTTAGCGGCGCGGTTCAAGCAATGGATAGGCACCCGTAATACGCATTTTCCTTCTTTCAGGCTGTGTCTAAGCTGTGTGGCAGAGCCTGCTATCCTTTCTGTTGGGTCAAGGGTATGTTGCTGGCGTTGAACTGCCGTGAGCAACCTCAGCGGGAAGAGTCTTTGTGGGTTGTTGTGGGAACGACAAATACACTGCTTAGAAAAGCTTGCGCGCAATCCACACGAAAATTTCGCACACCGAGGTCGACGAAAACGAGTTTCTGCGCCACTGTGCGCGCGCAAGTGCGGCCCAAGGGCCTAATCCCGGGCAAAAAAATATAGGACAACCCCTAATAATATTTATGGTATTATTTTTTAAATATATATGTTATGTATACAATATTTAAAATATATATTATATATAATATATTTAAATTTCAGAAAAAGAACCTTTATAAATATGAATTGTTTGCACACACCTAATAATATTATTATATTCTAATCAAAATTAAATATAATAAATATTAATTAGTTAAATTATATTAAATATATATATTTATTAAATCATTCTATTATATAATCTATATCGAATATTATATTAATCACAAACCGATATATATATAGAACAACATTTAAAAATATTAATATTATATAAATATCATCATAAACAATAATAGTAATTTTGCAAAATATTATATCTATCACAAGCATTATCAAAGGACATTTAGAAGGAATTTCCGTGTTACGGCAATTAATTGAAAGCTAGCTCTCCCTGAGATAGATAACAAGAGAAAGAATAAGCGCACGAGAAAAGATATGCACGCATATGGTGGGAGAATAGAAGTGCGCCAAAAACGCGGTCTTGTGTATGAATTTGTATATCCGGAGAACTGAAAGCTAGCCTGTTCGCGGCGCCTGGTCGGACCATTATCGGACCATTCTCGGATCACGTTCGCAGCGCGGGCCAATTGGCACGGCAACGCAGAGGTTTCGCAAGGTTTGAATTGCGTGGTAGGCGCAGCTTTTTGGTGAGGCCGGGTGCAAATTTCGTGGCAGGCGCAGCACTTTCGCACGGCTAATTTTTCTTAAGGTTCGAATTGCGTGGCAGGCGCAGCTTTTTGGTGAGGCCGGGTGCAAATTTCGTGGCAGGCGCAGCACTTTCGCAAGGTCAATTTTTCTCAAGGTTTGAATTGCGTGGCAGGCGCAACATTTTCGAAAGCTCAGGTGCAGATTTCGTGGCAAGGTCAAGTGCAGATTTCGTGGCAGGCGCAGCACTTTTGGCAAGATCAGCTTTCGTAGTCGGGGCTCGAAAATCGCAATTTTGAAGTACGAAAATAGTACGCGAAATTAACTTTCGTAGTCGGGGCTCGAAAATCGCAACTTTTAAGTGCGAAAGTAGTACACGAAATCAATTTTCGTAACTGGGGCTTAAAAATCGGTACTTGACCTTGCGAAAATGATGCGCCTACCACGAATTTTGCACTTGACCTTGCGAAAGTGCTGCGCCTGCCACGAATTTGGCACTTGACCTTGCGAAAGTGCTGCACTTGTCACGAAACCTGTATTTGACCTTGCGAAAGTGCTACGCTTGCCACGAAATCTTTATTTGACCTTGCGAAAGTGCCGCACCTGCCACGAAATCTGTATTTGACCTTGCGAACGTGCCGCGCCTACCACGAAATCTGTATTTGACCTTGCGAAAGTGCTACGCCATAAATTAATAGATAAGTCGATAGATAAATAGAGAGATAACTGTAGAGATATAGAAATAAATAGATAGATAAAGAGAGAGAGAGAAAGAAAGAGATAAATAAATAGATAGATAAAAAAGAGAAAGAGAGAGAGAAATAAAACAAAATAGATAAACAAATAAATAGAGAGATAGATAAATAAATAGATAAAGAGAGACAAATAACGAGAAAGAGAGAGAGACAAATAAAAATATAGATAAATAGAAAGAAAAAGAGATAAAAAAAGAGATAAACAAATAAATAAATAAATAGGAAAATAAATAAAGAATTAATTTCCCAAATAAATAAACGATAAATAGATAGATAAGCAACGAGAAAAATAGAAAGATAAATAAAAAGATAGAAAAGAGATAAAGAGAGAGAGATAGATAGGTAAATAGATAGAGAAATAAACATATAGATAGACAAATAAACAGATAAATAAGTAGATAGATAGCTAGATAAGTAGAGAGAATGAGATAGAGAGGTGGATAGAGAGATGGATGGATCGATAGATCTATAGATAAGTAGAAATATAGATAAATAGATAGATAAAAAGAGAAATGGATAAATACACATAAGATAATAAGATAGAGAAATAGATAGATAGACAGAGAGGGAGGGAGAGAGAGATAGATAGGTAGACAAAGGGATACATAGAGAGAGATATAGAGATAGATAGAAAGATAGACAAATAGAAAGACAGATGGATAGATAAATAGATATATGGGAAATAGATGGAGAGATAAATGAATGGATAGACAGATAAAAAAAAAAAGAGATAGAGAAAGAGATAGAGAGATAAATAGATAGAAAGAAAGAGAGATAGAGAGATAGAGAGATAGAAAGAAAGAGAGATAGAGAGATAGATGGAGAGAGACAAATAATTAGATAAATGAACAAACAGAAGATAGATAGACAAATAGATAAATAGATAAAGAGATAGATAGATACATAGATAGAAAGAGAGATAGAGATATAGATAGATAGGTAGATGGATAGAGAAATAAATAGATGGATGGATGGATAGATACATAGAGAGTTAAATAAATAGATATAAAAATAGAGATAGAGGGATATAGAGAGATAGATAAATAGAGAGATAGGTGGATATATAGATAGAGAGGTAGAGAAATAAATAGAGAAAGAAATAAATAAATAGATAAGCAGATAAATAAATAATACGAGAGATAGATAGACAAGTAGTTAGGTAGATAGATAGGTAGAGAAAGATAGATAGACAAGCAAACAAAAGAAAGCAAAAATAGATAGAAAGAAGGAAAGAAGGAAGGAAGGAAAGAAAGGGAGGAAGGAAAGAAAGGAAGAAAGGAAGCATAACGGAGAAAAAGAGTTAAGAAAAGAAAAAAATATATAATTTTTATATTGTTAAAATTTCCGCCTACTTAAAACCCTAAATATTGCAAGTGCGGAGCAAAAAAACAAAGAATACGATCCCTTAAAGCAAATGTTAAATTATAATATTTATAATTTCCTTTTTCTTAATTAAAGGACATTTGGAAGGAATTTCCGTGTTACGGCAACTAATTGAAAGCTAGCTCTCCCTGAGATAGATGACAAGAGAAGGAATAAGCGCACGAGAAAAGATATGCACGCGTGTAGTAGGAGAATAGAAGTGCGCCAAAAACGCGGTCCTATGCATGAATTTGCATGTCCGGAAAACTGAAAGCTAGCCTATTCGCGGCGCCTGGTCGGACCATTGTCGGACCATTCTCGGATCACGTTCGCAGCGCGGGCCCATTGGCACGGCAACGCAGAGGTTTCGCAAGGTTTGAATTGCGTGGTAGGCGCAGCTTTTTAGTGAGGCCGGGTGCAAATTTCGTGGCAGGCGCAGCACTTTCGCAAGGTCAATTTTTCTCAAGGTTTAAATTGCGTGGCAGGCGCAACACTTTCGAAAGCTCAGGTGCAGATTTCGTGGCAGGCGTAGCACTTTCGCAAGGTCAAGTACAGATTTCGTGGCAGGCGCGGCACTTTCGCAAGGTCAAGTAAAGATTTCGTGGCAGGCGCGGCACTTTCGCAAGGTCAAGTAAAGATTTCGTGGCAAGCATAGCACTTTCGCAAGGTCAAATACAGGTTTCGTGGCAGGCAGGCGCATCACTTTCGCAAGGTCAAGTACAGATTTCGGGGCAGGCGCAGCACTTTCGCAAGGTCAAGTGCAGATTTCGTGAGGCGCAGCACTTTTTGCAAGCTAAATTTTCGCAGCCGGGGCTCGAAAATCGCAATTTTTAA